GAACTGCTGCTGCCCAGGTGAAGAATTGTTGCTGGGGTGACACAGGCAAGCAGGAAGCTAGCAGAGAACAAACAAGAAGGCATGAGTACATTCCTCCAGTCTTGCCTCCCTCTAGCTCTTCTACTAGTAGTGTCTAACAGGGAGCCGCTGGCAAAGGGGAAACATGGTATGCGGTGTCCCAGCCCCTGCGTCACAGAGGATAGAAGAGCAGGTTTAGAGCTGAGAGACGATAGCTTAATACCTTACATACCTATTTTATTTATAATAAAACTGATGTTCAAAATGTTAGTGCCATGTCATGTTGTTAAGAAGTGTAGAGCGTAGGCTCAAATGAGTGATCTGATACCAAGTCTGTGATCTATCTCCCAAGCCATAAGAGTACTCCAAACTGAAAAGTTACTTAACTTCAGTTCAACCCTTTCATCTTTCAAACGAGGTGACTAGTGGTCAGGAGCCATTAATAGATAAGAGATGGAATCCACTTCCTGTTTGACCTAATTTCCCTTTCCAGACTTACTTTCCAAAACCTCTGCATGCATCTTATTCTCCTGCTGTCCTGCCTTTGGGAGTCCCTGGGTGGTGCTAATGATTAACACTCTCGGTGCTAACTGAAAGACTGTAGGTTTGAGTTCACCCAGAATCACCATGGAAGAAAGGCCTGGCATCTATTTTTGGGAATCCAGCCATTGAAAATCCTATGGAGCATAGTTCTACTTTGACATGTAGGATTGCCATGAGTCATTCAACTCAAAGGCAACTGGTGTGATTTGGTTTTGTGGTATCCTGCAACTGTGTGTACCTGCTGTCCATGCGCCCCTGCATTTTGTCACCTGTGACTCTGCTAATATCATTCCCTTTGTCTAGAGTACTTTTTTCCCTCTTCCTCCTTAATGCTCTATGATTCTCCACATTCTTCTTTATGACTCAGGTCAAATGTCACCTCTTCCATGAAGCCTTTCCTTATCTTTTAACCTTAAATAAAACAAAACTCCTCCTTTTGAATACCTTATCACTTCATCTCTGTATGTCTCACTTTCTCCCGTCGTGCTAGACCTCCTCTTTCTACTTATTTAAATGTTGGTGTTCTCCAGCAATTCTGTCCTCATGCTCGTGCTTCTCTCATTGTCCCCGTTTTTCCCAGGCAGTATCATCACACCACATCCAAGGCTGTACCTGCCACCTCTGGGTGCGCTGGTGACTCCTGTATGTCTGTCTCCAGCTCAGCTTTCTCACCAGGTCTCCTGACATATACACACCCATTTCCTGGGTACCTCCATGTGGCAGCACCACCATCCTCTCCAACTCAATGTCTCTTAGACAGAGCTTAGTTTCCTTTTTCTAGAACACTCTTTCCCTTTTGTTCCTTGTGTTACTGAATGTCAGCACTATCATCTACCTAGACAGACATCACACCAAAAAGAAAATATATCTTTTCAATTCCTTGCCCTCAAGGCAGACTGTTACCAATTTAGGATCACCTTCCTAAATCTCTCAAGTCAGCCTCCTTGCTTGCATTCCCAGTGCTGCTATCTTAATTCTGCCTTTAATACCTCTAACTCAGAACTTTGCAAGAACCCACTAACTGCTTCCAGCCTCATCTTCCTTCAGTCCACCCTACTTGTTACCAGAAGGATCCTCAGGGAGCATGCCATTCCTCTGCTCTATGTCCTTCATGGCCCCTGTTGCTTATAGCATAAAGGCTCATAGTGGCCACCGGGGGTTGTGGTTGGGGCTCTTGACTTGCCTTTTTTGCCTTGTTTTCCAGCCTCCCCTGCATTCCATATGCCCTGATTCCCACTCTCATTTGGGACTGTTTACTCTGAATATACCATGCTTGCTCCTGTCTTAAGGATACTGATCTTCGTGACTAAAAAGCCCTTCCTGCCTTTGGGAGGAGTGTGGTGTGTCTGGAGCCATACAGACTTGGGATTGATCCCAGCCCTGGTACTTACTGTTGTGGCGTACAGGCCAGTCATCCAACTTCTCTGAGCCTCAGTTTGCTCATGGAGAGCAGAGCACATGCCTGTTGAGTCACTGTGAGGTAGCATATGAAGAAAGTTTTAGCACTCTGCCTCGGGTTTCTTTGTTCTCTTTTCATTGCTTCCCTGTTCTAGCAAACTTTGCCCTTATCCAGCTGTATATAGTCTGGGTTATGACCTCTGTGAACTCTGCCTCTTCTTTTCTCCTGGTCAGAAGGAGGCTTTGCTTCTGTGAGCTCTCATTGTGTCTTAGAACTTCTGATACTGTGATATAGCTGGTCACGTCTTTCTTCCTGCTCAGGTGGCAGGAGGTGGGGCTCTGTCTCATTCAGTGTCTGCTGTCAATTATTTATGAAAAAAGTTGGTGGTTAGAACTTACCCAGAGGTACCTCAGAAGACAGGCCTGGCTGTCTGCTTTCAAAAAGTCATAGTCTTGAAAACCATGTATCTACTCTGCACATGTGGGGTCACCACGAGTTGGAATTGCTTTGGCAGCAAACAACAACCATCTCTTCTGAACTAGCTGGAGACTCCTCACGGGTGGAGTTTCTATGGGATGTGTATCTTTCAGCAGCTAGCTGAATTCTGGATGTCCCCAAATATTTAATAGATGAGCACATTACCAAAGTACTACTCTCAGAGCTAAGAAAGGTAATGGTGAGAAGCACGTACAGAAACAGCAGAAGAAATCAGAAAATTCTCTTAATTGAGTCACGGGGCATATATAAAGCAGTTTTCTGATGATTCATGGGTTTGTTAGTAACCACTTTCCGTGTTATCAGTTCTATTGAAGAAAACTTATTTTCTTCCATTTGTTTTCTCTAAGTTACCCCAGGTAGTTCAACACTGGCCTCTCATCATTTTTAGCTCACTAAAACACTGTATAACTATTATGTACAGTTGAATCTCAGAAATTTCTCTGTTGTGAAAAGCTAAACATTTATTTTCTAGAGTTGTATCAGACTGGATCTATAATATTCTATAGCAAATACACTTTTCATTTTGAGTCTGTTCCAGGCAGTAGGCTAAATTTAAAACCATGGTTGGCAGACTTTTATGCACACTATCATCAATAATTTCAACTGTTTCTCAACTGAGAGAATGTAAAAAATGGTTTATTTATGGAGTAAATGATGTTTTACCTCTTTAATTGCTTCAGCTAAAACAACTGTGAGAGGTATATAAAAGAAATGAGGAAAAAGTCCAGTAAGACCTTCTAGGATATGACCTTTACATGGAATAATTATAAACCACGTCTACCCCCTTGTTCTGTTGTTACTCTCACAGTCACCACCACCCATGGAAGCTACCACTCTTTTTTTTTTTTTTTAATTTTGATTTGAGTGAAGATTTACAGAGCAAATTCACTTTCCATATAGCAGTTCACATACACTTTGTCTCATGACATTGACCACAGTTTACCACAATGCAACAGCTCCCCTCCCACTTCCTTCCCATAGTTACCTCTTCCCAGTGTCCATCCCTCCATGCCCTCCTGCCCCCTGAGCTGTCTCCCTGTGCATAAGCAGCCCTTCTTTCTCCCATGACTGTTCTCTCCAAGGAATGTATCTACCTGAGGTAAATGTTCAACTCATATGCCTGTCTTTTGTTTGGCTGGAAACCACAGGTGTGGGTTCAATTCCAGACCTGAAGGGCAGCTAGGGGCCATAGTCTCTGGTTCCACCAGGCTCCATCGGACCAGCAAACCTGGCCCCCCCCCCCTTTTTTTCTCTAAATGATTTTGAGTTTTGTTCCACATTGTTCTCCCTCTCTATCAAGGATCTCCTACATAGATCCCCTTCCAAGTAGATGACAGTGGTAGCCGGGCACCATCTAGTTCTTCTGGTCTCATAGTTGTATAGGTTGCAGATCGGATGGTGTACCAGTCGCTAGGACTAATTGTTTCCATGAATTTTGGTTTTCTTCATTCTTCTTTGCTCTGGACGAGAAGAGGCCCATCGTTGCATCTAGATGGCAGCTTGCTAGCTTTTAAGATCCCAGTCACTACTCGCCAAAGTAGGAGGTGGAACAGTGTTTTGTATAGTATGTTATGCCAATTGAGCTTGATGTCCCCTGTGACTATGGTCCCAAGCCCACAGGTTCAACTACTCGGTCCCTCTGGGTAGCTGGCTGTGACCAAGCAGTGACCACAACCTTGCCTGTTGTCTGGAAGCTACCATTCTTGTTGTCCACAGGAGTGGCTATTTTGAAACCTCCCACTCCTTCCAAGTTCCCTTTTACTCCCTCCGAGGCCTGTCTTCACTGGGAAGAGGGCTTTTCCCTGGCTTTTTGGTGAGCCACCAAGAACTTTGTTCTTTTAGGATCCATCCCACCTCCCCACCTTGTATCCCTGCCTCCTCTCTACTGGCACACCCTTGGAGCCCACACTGCAGGAGCCCAGCTCCAGGAGAGTGTTGGTCTGTGGTTGCCTTGTTTGTAGCAATGGGAACTGTGTTCCTCATCTCAGTTGAAACTTAGAACTCAGAGTGAGGCTTCTCCTTATACCAGTTACCAAGTTGCTGTCAAGTTGTCTCTGACTCATGGGCATCCCATCTGTGTCAGAGTAGAACAATACTCTATAGAGTTTTCAGTGGCTGTTTTTTTGTTTTGAAGTATTGGTAGGCCTTTCTTCCAAGGAACCTCTGTGGATTCGAACTTCCAACATTCTGTTTAACTGCCAACCACGTTAACTCTTTGCACCACCCAGGGACTCTAAGTCTCCTTATAAAAACTCCTTATAGAAAAGGGGGATTGATTCTGTCCTATCACAGTATCAATATAATGGGTTAATTATCTTTATTGGTTGTTCTGGGGATCTGACCATACTTTATAAAATGGATAACATAGCATTTTCTGGCAGATTGGTCTCTCTCTTGTTCTTAGTAAAATATCATTAGGGGAAAATGTACATAGCTCACTTGTGACCTATTAGGTGAACTCTTTAAGAAGCAGCATTTGGATCAGTATCAACTTAATTTGTCTTTCAATTCCAAATACCATAACAGGTTTTTTTCCCCCCAGGCTGATTTTAACACCAACTTTTCTGGGATGGATGAACATTCACGTATAAGCCATGAGGACATGAACTTTTCTGATATATACCACTCTAATGCAGAGTATTTCAAGAAACTAGAAGAGCTGAAGGCTGCCCATGTGGAAACTATGGCAAAGTTAGAAAAAATGTACCAGAATAAATTAAATTTAAAGGGAATTCAGCCAGTTATCATCAGGGAAAGTGCTTCTAGTATCTCTTCCAGGTAAGTTTGTACACAGTGTAATTTGTGGACTATAAAATAAAACATACACTTAAAAGTGTAGAATAAAAATATTTCAGATGTTTTCTCTTAGATATCCCTTTGCACTTTTAATGATAAATGGAAGTAGGATTTCATTGAAAATGTTTCATGGCTTATTAACCTGCAAGATGACTTCTGCTTTGAGGGTCATTTGGTGGCCATTTAGTCTTTTCTCTCTGACCTTCCACTTATACAGCTGTCGAAATATATAAAAATATTTAGTCTGGGCCATTTTTGTTTTTTTAATTGTAGTTGGGTAAAAGTTTACAGAGCAAATTGATTTTCCATTCAACAGTTCATATGCATTTTGTTTCATGATATTGATTGTAATCCTCTTAATGTAACAGCTCTCTTCCCACTTCTTCCCTGTGGTTACATTTGCCCTTTGTCCTTCTTTCCTATGCATTCTTACCCTCTGACATCTCCCTGTGCAAATACTGCCCTTCTGATCTCCCTTGGTTGATTCTGCTAAGGAGTGTACCTACCTGATGTAAGTGTTCCTCTTATACAAGTCAGGGCCATTTTAAACGATGAATATTAAAGTTCAGTTTAAAAACCTTTTTCATATATGGGTTAACATGAATTAAAGATACCGTGCAAAGGGTTTAAGACTATGAGACATAAGTATGATTTACATTTTTGAACTAGTCTGTAATTTCAAGATGCATTTCTGCTATGAATTTGCTTGCTTTGAAAGTTGAGGCAAGTCCCTTAACTCATCCAGTTGGTCAGCACTGATTACCCATTTGCTATGTGTCAGACCTTGCTAAGCACTAAGGATTTGAAAACAAGGTGCTCTTGAGGAGCTCAAAGACAAGCTGAGAACCAAAAATTGCAATGCGTCATAATGTGACAGTGTTAGAGAGACAGAGGAAGAAGCAGTTGATCATGCCAAGATGCTGGTGGAGGAGGGCTAGTAAGGAATTTTCCACAAAAGTGTCACATCTGAGTTGAGTCTTGAAGAAGGAGTAGAGGTATAGCAGATGTAGAAGGCCATCTAAAGCAGCAGAAACCGTATGCGCAGAGGCCTGAAAGGCTGACAAACCACAGTGTGTGAGGCATGGACACTTGAGAAACCTCAGTTGTGAGAGGTACTTTATGTAATTGGATGTGACTTCAATATGGTAACTAGGAGTAGTAGAGTGGCAAGACATACACTGGGAAGGTAGGCAGGGGCCAGTGTTGAAAGGCTTTATGAGCTACACTTTACTTTGTAGCAACAGGAATCACCGAAAAGTTTCAAGTAGGTGAGTGGCATGATCAGAAGTTTGTTCTAGGAAGGGGCCTCTAGAAAATGTGAGAAGAATCCAGTAGAGGTTAGAAGCAACGAGTCTCTGCTGACTCCAGTTCCTCTTCTGTTGACCTAGATAATTTATAGGCAGGTTCCTAGCTTCTATTCTAAATAAAAAAGAGTCCTGGTGGCTCAATAGTTAAATTGGTTGGCTGCTAACCAAAAGGTTGGCAGTGTGAACCCAGCAGCCCCTCCACAGGAGAAAGATGTGGTAGTCCACTTCCATAAAGAATTATAGCCTTGGAAACTCTATAGGGTCACTATAAGTTAGAGTCAACTGATGGCAATGACTGGGTTTGGTATTCTAAATACAAGCAGTAATTTCTGTAAACCCTGTTGCACTCCTATCTTCTGACTGATTATACTCTGAACTTAGAACTATATAACCATATTAATTTTTATATTTAGTCACATACAATTGAAATGTAACATTGTTCTTCTCCCTTAGATCTATATCGGAAAAAAACACCTATCACCCTGTCTCTTTAATGCCAACACTTTCAGAGCCTGATTTAGGTCATTCTTCTTCCTTATATGCATCTTCCTCTGAGGATGAGTTGTCCAACCTAGAAAAAGAGTACCCCAGCAAAAACAGGATGATGACCTATGCTAAGGAACTCATCAACAACATGTGGAAAAACTTTTCTGTTGAAGATTATGTTCAGTCTGATGATACCGACTTCCCATCAGTTGAAAAAACAAGGAAGAAACCAAAAGAATGGGTGCCAAAGATTACAATACCTGAGCCTTTTCAGATGATGATTAGAGAGCAGAAGAAAAAAGAAGAAAACATGAAATCCAAGTCAGATATTGAAATGGTACACAAACTATTGAAAAAACAAGAAGAAGATGCAGAGTGTCAAAAGAAATTCCGAGCCAATCCGGTTCCTGCATATGTCTTTCTTCCCCTTTATCATGAAATAGTCAAACAAAATGAAGAACGGAGGAGAACTGTGAAGGAGAAGAGCAAAGAAGCTCTTTTGGCCTCACAGAAACCATTTAAGTTTATTGCAAGGGAGGAACAGAAGCAAGCAGCCCGGGAAAAGCGAAAAGACTTTTTTAAGCCTAAAAAGAAGACAAATCGATTTAAAGCCAGGCCTATACCTCGATCCATTTATGGCCCAACTGCCAGTGACAGGTTAAAAGAAGAAGAACTCATTAAGAGCATTAAGACACAGCTGAGAGCCCAAGAGCTTTTACAGAAGTTGTCCCTTCTTCCATCTAGGCCAGCTACGAGGAAACTCAAGTGTCCTGAAAAGTGTAAGTGTAAACACAAGGTCAAGTGTAAGACTCCTGATGTTGAAAACCTTCCTAAGGAATGCCAGAAATACCTCTCAGAAAACAAGTGTTCAAAACTCTTAACAGCTTGTGAACCATTTGATCTTCATGCGTCCTCACATTCATCCTCTAAAAGAGAGAAAGTTTTGGCAGACATTAAAGCAGATGAAGAAAATTTGAAAGAAACACGTTGGCCTTACCTGTCTCCAAGGCACAAGTCACCAGTTAAAAGTGCAAGTTCAAAGCCTGTGCCTTGTGACTGCAACCCTCCAAGGCCCACAGTATCTTCCAGAGAAAGAGAACAAGTTATAAGGTAAAATAATTAGGAGATAGTAGTAACTGACTTATAGTTGTTAAAATAGTATATATAGTCATATTGATTTTATGTTGGTGAGTTTGAAATTATTAATAAGTTATTACTCTGTCTTGTAAGATATTATACTATATAACATACAACATTTTGCCAGAGAGTGTTCTTTCAAGAAATGAGTATATTTTCCATATTTTGAATCTTTGGGGATAGAGAAGATTATAGTCAGCCTGTTAAGGTCCGGTTTCCTAAGTCAGGTCCTTCTCAAAAGGTTTGCATTCTTTGCTTTTTTCAACTTCTGAATTATTCCACATTGAATCTTTGCTAAACAACGTTCTCAGTGGCTTAAAGTGAATTAAGCCTTAGTTTGTTGCCCTCAGGAGAGCACTTGAGGAAAAGAAAATGTTGGAAGAAGAAAGAAATCGGATCCTAACTAAGCAGAAGCAAAGAATGAAAGAACTGCAGAAACTCCTGGCAACCCGGGCTAAGGCTTATGACTCACATGAAAGTTTAGCTCAAATGTCTAAATCCAGAATAAAATCTCTCAGGTACAGAACCTCCAGATCATTGGTTTTCAAACTTACCTTAATCAGTGGGTAGCAATCTAGAAACTGAGTAAGAATGATAATTAGTATTTTATTTTATTGATTCAAATTACAGGATTGAGAAATCTTGATTTAGAGATAAACCTTTTTTTTTTAAATTTTTAACAGCTTGCCATGTTATTTCAGAATACTCTTCAATAAACACGTGTCAAAGAGCTGTGTTTCAAAGTTTGTGTGAAATCTGGTAGCACACATTAACACATTGATGTCCCCAATGTGTTAGTATTAGTGTGTATGTTTTGCATTTTGTTACAGTTTTAATATATATAAAAAAGTATTTCACACAGCCTCTAAAACCCCTTCACAAAACACTAGGATTCTGCAGTACAAAGTCTGAAAACCAGTGCCCTAGAGAAACATTTTTATGTACAACATAAAAATGTTTGTTTTAGTAGAAAAATATCCCTTAAATCTGGGTAAATAATATGATATATTACTTTTTAATAATCTGATTTATGTTTGTGTATGTGTGTGTATGTATACAGATATATAGAAATATGTATATAATATATATATGTTTGCTTTTAATTATAGTTCTTATTCCTTTATAATGTAGTATTAATTGATTGATAAATGAAGCTTAATTTGATGAGTTTGAATAAAAAAACTCCTTAAAAATAAACCTTAGGAGGTAAACTGGCTTTTTTTTTCTTTTTTGATTTCTATTTGGGTGAAATTTTACAGAGCAGATTAATTTTACAGTCAGTAGTTCATACACCTTTTTTTTTTTAAAATGACACTAGTTACATCCCTGCCGTGTAATACCTCACCTCCCTCTTCCTCCCTGTGGTTACCCTTTCCCTGTGTCCTTCCTGCCTCCTTACCTTTCTCCCTGTGTAAATGCTGCTCTTCTGATCTCCCATGGTTGATTGTTCTAAGGAGTGCATCTCCCTGGTGTAGGTGTTCAGCTCATAGACCTGTCTCACGTTTGGCCATGGAGTAAATTCAGTTCCAGGCCTGAAGGATGACTCGGGACCATAGTCTTGGTGGTTTTTACCAGTCTCTGACAGACCAGTTAGCCTGGTCTTTTTCATGATTTTGAGTTTTGTTCCACATTTTTCTCCTACTCTATCAAGGATCTCCAATTTTGATCCTTTTGCAAGTGGTTGGCATTGGTAGCTAGGTACCATCTAGTTCTTCTGGTCTCAGGGTCATATAGATTGAAGTTCTCATGGTCCATTAGTCTTTTGGATTAACTTAAGCTGGCTTTTTCATAATACCAACTTGTGTATAATTAAGCGTAACTGTAACTTTATGGTATAACTGTATTCCCCAATCTAGAAAATCTTATCTTGGTAGAGTTAATATATGTTAAATAGAAAAAATAGCATCGTTTAATTAATTACAGGATTGTGTCTAAAAAATAAATATACTTGGGTAAATTAATGTATTTTGGTTCCTGTTCCTCTGTGTATCGTATTCCCGTGCTCTCCATTTCTCCTCAGACCTGTAGCCATTTAATTAACTTTGCCACCAACTTACAGGAGATCCTATCTAGGAGGGAAAAGAAGAGCAGGTCTTGTTTTCAGAAGAAATTACTTAGAGAGAAGAGATCTAGCTTGACCCAAATGTTTGTAATTTTATACACTGACAGTTTATAAATGAGATAAGCATTCATTCATCACTTGCCCAGTTTGAAGCCCCTTCATGCCTTGAAGATTTCAGAAATCTCCAAGTACTGAGGTTAGTTCCAGTGAGTAAAATGTATATTTCTAGAATCTAGGATTTTTAGTCTCCATTTCATCAAAATTTACTAGCTTGGGAAAGGAATTTTAAATTGTGCTGTTCATTTCTGATTTGTTACCCAGTCTTAATGCTATATATGCAAGTTCTTTTTCTTAGATGACCTTTTACATTTTCATCCCTTTTGTTTAATTTTAGAAAGAGTGAAAAGGAAAGGATGAGAGAATACCGACAAGAACTAGAAGAAAGAGAAGAAAAATTAAAAAAGAGGCCTCTGCTATTTGAAAGAGTTGCTCAGGTTGTGTTTGTAGGAATTTAAGATCTATTGTCAGCTTTTCTTTTTTAAACATCTTCAGCTCCTAATTTTACAGTCCATTTTTCTCATGTGTTATATAATTTTCTTAGATATGTTATTGTTTCTGTGACAGCTTCATCAAATCAGCCAAGTGAGTAATTTTGCTTACAATCTAAGCATTGAATCTTGTTGATGAGGCATGTAATCGTGATAAAGAACATGCTGTTAATCTAATTGTTCTCAAAATAGTAGTCTCACAACTGGTTTTTAATGACTGGGTTTTTTTTTCAGTACCAACTTGGCCAAGTATTAAGGTGAGGCTTTATGATATAATTTGGAGGTCTTTGAAGAATTAAAAAATGAAACAAAATGACGAATTGAATCAGACTTATTTCTGCCAGTTTTTTTTTTTTTTTTTTTTAAGCGAGTCTATAATTTTCAGTCTTCTCTACAATTTACAAAAAGGACTTTCTTTTTATAGGAAAGGCAAACTAGTTTTATGGACAATGGACCCTTATTTCACTAAATTTACACTCAGTTTTATAATCTTTCTCTTAAGGGAGATTTGTCAGTTTTCCATCATCTTCTTTGTCCCCATAAAAGTGAGGTTTGTGTGGATGACATAGCATAACTATAGACAAAATCACTGGAGGTTATAGGTGCCATGTTGTGAATTTCAAGCTGTTACACACGGAGAGTAGACAGTTGGAACCTCCTGCCATCACTTGCAAGGGACAGATGAATATAGCCCAAGTCTGTCTGCGTCTGTGGCTCCCTGAGAATGGTGAGCAGGTACTATGGGTGAATTGACACATTCAGTCTCTCACAGTTAAGGAAGCTTTTACTTATTGATTTGGATATAATTGTATGTCACTCGTTTCATATCAGGAGATGGTTTTTTTTTTTTTTTTTTAAACACCACAGTTTCAACTTTAGGGGGAAAAAAATCACTGTAATCTATTTAATGTTTTATAGCATAACATGAGTCACTTTTGGCCCACGATAGTTATCTTCAGCTCTGAACTATGTGTTTTTATGTCCACTTGTCTGGTAGGCACGTCTGCCAGTTTCCCATAGCATCTCACGTTCATCCTGCCCCCACCTAGATCCTCCTCCTTATTTCCTATTTTAGTCGGGGGTACAATGTAGATGACTGGGAGCCACTTTTCCTCCCCATTTAGTTGGTCACCAAGAGATCTGTCAAGTCCCCATGCTCAAAAATTTTTGGATCTACTCTTCACCATCTCTGATATCAGTATGTTAAGTGAAACCTCTATTATTTCCTATCTGAATTATTACACAAGTTTAACTAGTCATCTTGCCTTGCTCTTTGCAAAGCTATCCATTATGTCTTCATTTTGCCGTTCCCATGCTAAACTTTTAACCCTAAGTAGCTATTTAACAGGAGTCCCTGGGTGGTGTGAATGGTTAAGTGTTTGGCTACTAACTGAAAGGTTGGCAATTCAAGTCTACCCAGAGATGCTTCAGAAGGAAGATCTGGTGATCTGCCTCCAAAAGATCACAGCCGTTGAGAACCCTGCAGAGCACGGTTCTACTCTGATGCACGTGGGGTCACCGTGAGTTGGACTGACTCAACAGCAGCCAGGTGTGTGGGGTTTTCTGAGCCAGTTAGTAACCCCTGATAATAGTGGTAATCACTGATTACATTTGTTGTCATTTTCAATGAATGATATCAAGAGGTCTTATCATTGACTCCTCCATAACAAAGACGGAGTAACTGAAGTTCACAAAAGGTAAGTCACTCTCATAAGGTTTTTATGGTTAGTAAATGGTGGGGCTATGATTAGAACCCAAATCCTTCTGCTTCGGAAGCCCATGCAACTTAATTCTAAGCTGTCCTACTTCCTGCCATAAGCTAAATTCATGAGTCTTAGCATGGTACAGAGATTTGTGTTAACCTCTTTGATCTTTACCACCCCAGTCTTTTCTACTCCCCCAACTATATACACACATGCCCTTATACAGACTCTTTACTTTTGAGGTCATACCAGAGTACTAATTTTAAACTTGAAGTTTTTATTTGTGCTGTTTTCTGAACCCTGCACACCCTTAAGGCCTCTTCCTGTCTCCTACTCATCCTTTAAAAGTTTTAGTGTAAAATCACTTCCTGTATCGTTTCCTCTTATGGAGTTGAGTGTTTTTCTTTCCTCTTTGTTCTTTTATCCCCTGTACACACCTCTGCCGTTGGTCCTCCCACATTTTATGACAATTATCTGCTTAATAGTCTCTCTTCCTTTCTAGTTAATTAATTTTAAAAGTGGTGGTCAAATTTTTGTATCCCTAGCACCCTAGACAGTGTCTGATACAGAGCAGACATTAGTAAACATTTGTTGAACCCAGACTGAATGGCTGTGATCAAATGGACAGATAATAACCTCACATCTTTCTGGGGTTAGCCAGGCTGAGAGCACTACCTTGACATAGTAGTGATGAGTCTCAGTACTAGTAGGCATTTTGTCATGCTGTAAATACCCACCATTTCTAAGCGCCAGAAGAAAGGTGACAAAGTAAATGGTGTGTGTAAAATTAAACTCAGGAAGAAATTTAAAATGTTGTAAACGTAGGTTAGTTTTATATATATATATATATATATATATATAACCATTTTTTGGCCACACATGGAATTTCCTTTGTCCAAAACACTCTTCTCCCTCCACATACCCATCAACCACAAGGGCATGTCACAAAATAAGTGTTTGGTAATTATTAAATGAATGAAAGCATTGCTGTAAACTAAACTTCTAGTTTAAAAGATAAAATACTTTTTTCTTCAAACTAGGGCACTGACTGTAGACAAAGTCATCTTTACCTGTTATTTTGGTTTCTGGAAGCAACAGTAAAACTCTTTTTTGCAGTCTTTGCTACTAAAATAACAATTAGTGATTTTAATTTATGTCATAGTCCTTACAATTCTTTTCCATGGTAAAATGCAGGGGAAAATGTTTTTTCCAATTAAGAACAATTACACATTATTCAACTTGATGTTAAAATATTAAAATGTAATTAATTCTGTATACAGAGTGGTTGTGGAAGTGAATTACTGTTGCTTTGGTTTTGTTAACACATTAGTATGTTTTTCTTGCAGTCTATTTTGCTGTGACTATTGCTGCTAATTAACAGCTGTTAGTTAATAAATTCACTTGCATACTTATGCATTAACCATTTATAATTTAATTGTTGTCTTACTGCTATTGAGTTATCCCTTAGCAGAATGTGCCTAATAGGGTCCACTACAGAACGAACCATGTTGTCCTGTTTTCTTGGAAAACAGGCTTTATTACCTGACTAAATGTTAAACTGAATTTTAAACCAGATTCACACGAAGGGTTTACAAGCGCTAATTTTAATCTCCACTTGTATGTTTTTTTTGTTTTTGTTTTTTACCAAAATCAGAATATACTATCTTAATACATTCAGCGTTAGCTTTGGGGTTTCTTAATTCTGCTCTACAGCTTTAGGGCATAGTTTTCCTCTTCTCACTCGGCTCAGCCTTTTACAAGGCTTATCTGTTGGGATTCCAGCCTCTGGATGCATTTTTACTTACTTTTCTAACAATTGTTGTTATTCTCAGTGAGTGCATTTTAACAGCAGTTTGAATGCTGATTTTTCACTTTTAAGTATTAAGAAATTACTGGGTGATCGTTTTATCCATTGTAATCAGTCTTGGCTATCTTGTTTCTACTGTGCAACACTAGACTCTGTTGTCCCTCCTTACGCTGGCGGCCCTGGTTAAGGCAAATACCTGACAACTGCATTGCTGAAGTCTGGCTTCCGGCTGTCTTTAGCCTCCAGAATGACCACTACCTTAGAGAAAGCAAGGTGGAGTGGAACAAGTCAAGAGACTTGGTTATACCACTGACCAGCCTTGTGATGCTGGGCAAACCACTTAACCTCTGGGGTTTTGGTTTCCTCATCTGTTAAATATGGGGGTTAGATGAGTCCTTTCATATATCCTTTTCAGATAGGATGCTGGGCCATTCCTAATCTCCTTGCTTTAGTTGGAGGTTTAAAGGACAATTTTTGCCCTACATTAGTTCACATCTACTCAGGAGCTGTGGTTTCAGGAACTATGACAACTTCCGTCTCCCTCCAAGTGTAAGAGGGTCACCCCTCCTCCCTGCAGGTCCCAAAGCCAGGAAATGACATTCCAGAGTTGTGAACCCAGTTCTTTTCACTATATCCCTTGCTTCTTCCATAGAATAAAGGTAATGACCCTGATGATTTTTATTGTCTTTAGTAAATTGGACATGTTGTTGTTATGTGCCATTGAGTTGGACCTAACTCATAGTGACCCCTCCTTGGGTTTTTGAGGCAGTATCACTTTGGAAGTAGATTCCCCAACCTTCTTTCCAAGGAGTGGCTGGTGGATTTGAGCCAGCCTTCTTATTAGCAGTCAAGTGCCTTAGGCATTACTCTACCAGAGCTCCTAAATTGGAGATATGGTTTATAAAAAGTAAAAATTATGGTAGGTACATAAAAGAACCTGTGACAGCTATTACATGAACTTACTTTCTTATTTTTCAGATATCTTTACACAGTCATAAAAGTGCATAAAACATAGGTACAGTGTAAAGAATAATTATAGATCAAATACTCATGTGACCACCACCCAGGTTAACACATAGCCCCTAGCTAGCCCTTCAGAGAGCTCCTGTGTTCCCTGTGTGGATCACAACCTTTACCTCTCCCCTAGAGATTACTACTATTTTGACTTTTGAGATCATTTCCTTGTTTTTATTTGCATTTTTATCACCTATGCACATATCCCCAAACAAGATAGATAGTTTACTTGTACCTGTTTTTGAACCTTATATAAATGAACCATACTGTCCTTTGCTTCTTTTATTCCATATTATATTTGTGAGACCCATCTGTGTTGTGGTCTATAGCCATAGTTTATTCACTTACATTGTTTTATTTTACTCTGTTGTATGAATAGACCAAAATTTATCTATCCTGTTGTTATCTGTGTTATTTCCAGTTTGGGCCTATTACCAACAGTCCTATCATCAGCATTCTTGTATTGTCTCCTGGGGCACATACTCAGGAGTTTCTCTGAGCAGTTACCTAGGACCAGAATTGCTGGTCATAGAGGATACATATTTTAACCAACTAGTTATGGGACTTAATTTTCATGGAGCTATAAACCCACAATTCTTTATGGAAATTTAGAAATCTTTTGTTCTCATCTAAAAAGGTTTGTCTTTCCTATAGAAAAATGCAAGAATGGCAGCAGAAAAGCATTATTCTAATACCCTAAAAGCCCTAGGAATATGTGATGAATTTGTTTCAAAGAAAGGCAAAAGTGGACAAATACTTGAGTACTTCAGCAATCCAGAGATGAAAAGTTTCACTGAAGATAAAGAAAGGTAACATATATAAGATGTCTGAATGGTTTACCTTTTGAAAAATTCTTACCTGCAAGAAAGCGTACAGTTCTGTAGTATTTATTTATTTATTTTTTAAATTATGATTTGGGTGAAAATTTACAGAGCAAATTCATTTTCCATACAACAGTACATATATACTTTGTCTCATGACATTGACTACAATTTACCACAATGCAACAGCTCCCCTCCCACTTCCTCCAGAGAGTCACCTCTTCCCTGTGTCCATCCCTTCATGCACTCCTGCCCCCTGAGCTGTCTCCCTGTGCATAAGCAGCCCTTCTTTCTTCCATGCTTGTTCTCTCCAAGGAGTGTATCTACCTCAGGTAAATGTGCAACTCCTATGCCTGTCTATTGTTTGGCTGGAAGCCACAGGTGTGGGTTCAATTCCAGACCTGAAGGGCAGCTAGGGGCCACAGTCTCAGTAGTTCCACCAGGCTCTATCGGTCCAGCAAACCTGGTCCCCCCTACTACCCCCTTTTTTTTTTCCAAATGATTCTGAGTTTTGTTCCACATTGTTCTCCCTTTCTATCCAGAATCTCTAACATACATTCTCCTCCCAGTTCTGTAGTATTTTAAAAAGGTCTTTTACCTAATGGAATACATGGGAAATGTTTTGACACATTCAAAGTATTACACAGTGATGAAGTATTTGTATTTTGTTTTTTTGAAACAAAATAACTTAGATTGCTGACTCACATAAATAATCAAAATATTAACATGCTTTTAACAGGAAGTTTAAAGAACCAGTCATTCAAATTTTGAAATAGAGGAATGTTTAATTTCCCAGTTGGCTCTTTTATAGAGGTGTTTCTTTCTTTTTAAATATGTAACAAATTGGAATGCTAAAATGGAAAGGAGGCCACATGTTCTGACCTCCTCTAACCCTACAAGGGGAAGGCAGGATTACCAGCAGTAACCCAAGGCCTATTACTGCAAGGCCAAACATGCTGCCTCCCTCCAGCCCTTTCACCAACCGTTCCTCCCAAAGCACCCACCACCTCTCTCCTGGGTTCGATAATTCGCTGCAGTGGCCACACAGAACTCACAGATTACAGGGTTTATTAGGGAAGCACCAGGCTACAACTCAAGTCCAGGAAGAACGCTCAGTCTCTCTCCCAGCCCACCGTCCCTCAGCCAAGAGTCTCTCACAGTCTCTTTTCCAGCAGTGCTGGTCCCTCGGTGTCTCACTCAGTGATGCGTGTCTCTTGAGGCTCTTTCCCAGCAGCACGTGTCTCTTTCAGGGGTGCGTGTCTCTTTCGGCAGCACGTCTTCCTCCACCAGCAGTCAGAGAGAGTTCTGCCTCCAGGAGGCCTCCTTTTGAGCCTGGAAGGGTGGTCAAACTAGCCAATCACAGCATCAGAACTCTAAGCACGTGAGAGAGAGTGGGAACTTCCCAGAACATTGTATTGTGCCACGCCCAACAGAAATAACCTAGGTGGGCGACTTTAAAATCAGGATCTCCTCCGTAGCTAATAGCAATTCCCACAATAGAGTTTACAAAGACTTATGGGTAGAAAAGCCACAGTAAGTAATTTACTACACCGCATGGAATGCACACACTTGAAGAAGATTGACTCCATGATTGCATACATTGCAGAGGGTTTGCTTACCTTTAAACCAGATCATTTTTCCTTTGAAAGATTGATAAATCTTTTCCTCTAGCTTTAATGAAGAAAAAATAGAAGAAAGAGAAAATGGGGAAGAAAATTATTTTATTGATACCAGCAGCCAGGATTCTTGTAAGAAAAAAGATGAAGTCGGTGAAGAAAGTGGAGAAGAGAATTCTGTTGAAGAAGAAAACTGAGTCAGCAAGGCCTCCTCTCTTACGCCCTTGTTGTCGTTACAATATTGGTTTGTAAGAGCCTCTCTGTGCTGGTGAAAGCTTCTGTGCAAATGCCTCCAATATGTGCAGGACTGTTGAGCTACGTCACCGGCCTGACAAAGCTTACTCCATCAGATTGGTTAATTGGTCACTTAGTGTAAGGCTCTGCCTATTCGATTTTTCTAATCATTACATACAGTCTGTTTCCAACTTTGATCTTTCTTATGTTTTGAAAAAGTGTTTGAGAATCACAGCTGTCACAAACAGATTAGTTTTTAAAATAAGTAATACATCATTATTTTTGCTGGAGAAAAATTGCTTAGTATTGAGAGCAGAGAGTACTGGCTTTTGGTGATTTGTTTGAAAAGATTTTTTGGAAAACTTCAATCAATAAATACTTTTTAAACTATACAATTTGCCCATTCTTTTTCTCTGAAATCCACCTCACGCAGTGAATCCTCAAACTCGTTTTGCTAGGTTTTTTTTAACATTTCCTTCTGAGCCATTAAAAAAATAAATAATGAGTAAAAACAAAATACTTAAAAATTTACATTTATTTCTGCACTAAGAGTATACTCTTAAAACATCCATGTCATCATCACTTATTTTTATCCCTAGTTTTAGTCCAGATTATTTTTGATAGGTAAATTATTAGGAAAGTATTTATACTAGTATCTTTTAATCATGTATATTATGACAGATAGAAATCATTTTGGTATCTGTGACATTACTCTTAGAGATTAATCTTAATCTTAGATTATTAATCTTAGAGATTAATATCAACCCTGTTTTATAGATGATGAAGTCTGTAAGGTCATTCAGATTTAGGTCTTTAATAGTGGACCCCGTTGTGCACACCTTTTCACATATTATTGCAAGCATCTTTTTGTCTCACTGCATGATGGTGTATTGATTTTATGGATCTACATTTCTCCTTGTTAAGCAAATTTTTGTTTTAAAAATTCAAACCATTCATAAAGATGTGATATGGTAAGACATTTTATTTTCTAAAAACTATCAGTGTCCTTTAGAAAAAAATGAACTAATGCAGGTGTATATAATAGCAGTTTTTCCCAACTGGCAGTTGACAGATAGCCTTTAAATTAAGAAAAAAGGTGATTTTTCTCAATTGGGCCAAACACTTACTTGTTACTCCTTTTCTACAGTTTCTGTTAAATTATTTGTCACTCTCATTAGATTGTAAACTCCTTGAAAGTTGGCACCATTTTAAAATTTATCTTTTGTATTCCTTTAATATTTAGTATAGGATTGTGCATATGATAGGTACTTAATAAAAGTTTGAATGAGTGAGTACATGGATACAGTTTTAATTATAGTTACTTCAAAATCAGTACACATGGGATTAAAAAAATTTTGCTTCTAACTTACTGAGAACTTGATAGCTCAGTTATATGTTAGAACAAAAGCAGGTGAAACAGAATCCGTATATAGTAATATTTAAAACATGACTTGCTTCTAAGGATTCACTCCACACTCTGTCCATTCTCAGTCTCATGGGGAATATGGGCTTTGGTCATACCAAATTGGACTGCAGGACCTATCTCAAATTTTCTTATTTTTAAAAATGGGGATAGTACCTAGCTTGAATGGCTGTAGGAAAGACTAGATGAGATAATGTATGGAAAAGCTCTTTATAAACTATCAATTTAATTGATAATGTCAGAGACAGAATGTTCCTGCAGAAACATTTTACCTAAAAAATTAATTTAAATGAGACATGATAATTCAGACACATCATTTTGTTGGAAATAATTTTCAACCACTTTTAAGACCAATCTTTAAAAGAAGACATGGATAGTTTCACATTATTCTATACAATGTTACTTTTTTAGAAAGCTGTCAAATTGACATCCAGAACATTACTTTAGCATGTGGCATCATACAGTGATAATTAAAAGTCAGAAAGGTTAAGTCAAAATGTTTGAAAATTTTATACATTCACATTATCTGAATTTGCTCTACAACTCTTTTTACCTGTGAGATTGTCCATTATACATCATTAGCTTAATATTAAGAAGGTCATGCTCTTTTTTTCCTTAAAGAAAAACTTTACTAGGTTACTTAGTAACTTCATCCTTACATATTTTTTCAGAAGAAATAGTCTAGGCATTGGAGGGTTATGTGATATATATGTATATGTTTGTGTGTATATGTGTACATTAGAACGTTGCCCAAAGCTTGTTTGCTTTGGACACAATATCAGGAGGGATCAACTTCTGGAGTAGGACATGTTTGGTAAAGTGGAGGGACAGCAAGAGCAGGGGAGAGTCTCAGTGAGACATCTTGACACTTCAGCCACAACAGTGTATTTGAACATGCTGGCAATTGTGAGAATGCTGTAGGTGCAGGCAGCATTTTTTTCTGTTGTACATAAGCTCACCATGACTTGGAGTCAACTCAGTAGCAGCTAACAAAAACATATATATACATATTCTCAAGTATAGATAGAGAGATGAATAGATGTGTATATGATAGAATGTTTTAGAAATGATTCTTTGACTTTGTTTATTTATACAAAATGAGTATGTCTCTAAGGATATCAGGCGTTTTTCTCACGGACAGTATTTCTTAAGATAATCCTAATTTGAAAGTAGCAGAGATTTCAACATTTGGACCTAGGCAATAAAAATCATTAATCATAAAAATTATCTTACTGCTTTAAAATAATTATACCTTTTTCAACCATTATATGCCTATATGTGTATGCATGTTTTTAGTGGTGGTTTTAGAAGGAAGCTATCAAGTTCTTGTTAAATGACGTTTTTGTCAACATATTGTAGTCTAAATAAAGTGATTACTTTGTCCTAAATTTTCTAAGCATTGTCATTTTTTTGTAGCCGATAAGGTGTTCTGGCATGATCTGTGGTTGGGTAACTTACCTGTATTGTCTTTTAGAAAAGTTACAGGAATAACTTTTATAGCATTTTCCCCCCATTTCTATAGAGGGGGAAAAAATCAGGGTCACAATGTTTTTTAAGTAATAATAAAAAATTATAATATAGATTGAATAAATGAAAAACAAAACTATGGATTGTAAGATTTCCTAGTTATGAAAGCAGATATATTTAGAATATTTACTAACTAGTTATTTTTTTCCTTTTTTTTTTTTTAACAAGACTTTATGCTCTGTGACAAATTTTAAATCTCAAGAGGAAAACATAAATTGAGAATGGAAACTAAAAATGTGTATATAATTGTCAAAATTCAAGGAATAATATACATGCTTATCTCTAACTCTGAAAAAAATACGTACACACAAACATGTGCACATACACAAGATGAGAATAGTTTGTCTCTAGGTGGTAGAAGAGAGACTTTGTTCTTCCCTGTTTTCAACAGTTACGTACATTAAAGAAAAAAAGATGAAACGTTAGCCCAGGAGGAAGCTATTTTCTACTCAAGGATTTATAACATTCTGAGATCAAGAAAGAGAGAAACAGATATCTTTTCTTGATACTGAAACTTTTTATTATGGAATATTTTTGGACATATACAGAAACAAGAGTGGTAATGAAGCCTCTGTACCTATTACCCAACTTTAAGAATGATCAACTCAGAGTTAAGCTTATTCATTCCATACTCCCACCCACTCCCCCACAGCTGTTTTGAAGCATACTGCAAATTTTCATATGTAAATATTCCAGTATCATTAAAAGAAAAAAAATTCCCCCTGGTTTCATAACTCCAGTACTATCATATACGCAAAAAGAATAATATCTTTATATCAGTTATTTAAGAATATTCACATTTATCCTGTTGTCTTAGATTTTTATACAGTTTATTTGAATCAGGATCCATACATTGCAATTGCATAATACATCTCATGTCTCTTTCTTTCTTGAAGTTATCTTCATTGTTGTTGAAGAAACCATGTTCTTCTGTTTGTCCTGTAGAGTAGTACCCCATTGTAAATTTTGTCATTTAACATGTTCTCTGCCCTCTGCATTTATCATGAATTAGTTAGATCTAAAGTTGGTCAGATTCATGCTTGATGTTTTTGGTAAGAATATAATGTTGTTGTTGTTATGTGCCATCGAGTTGGCCCCGACTCATAGTGACCCCTCCTTGGGTTGCCAAGGTGGTATCACTACGAAAGTAGATTGCCCAACCTTCCTTCCGAGGAGTGGCTGTTGGGTTTGAACCACCAGCCTTCTGGTTAGCAGTCAAGTGCCTTAGGCACTATGCTGCCAGAGCTCCTAAGAATATAATGGTTGTGTGCATTTCTGTCAGGTGGTACATAATTTCTGATCTCTTTTTGTGATGTTCTTCACCATTAATGATCATTGCTAAATTCCTTATGTTGAGGTCTCCCCAGTCAGTTTTGTAATCTGGAGCTCTTTAATAGATTCCATAGAAGGGCTTGCACAATGAAAATTCCCCGATTTTTGGTATCTTCATGACAGTTTGTCTTTGGTTTTATTTGATAATCTGGCTGGCTATTAAATCCATAGTTCACTGTTTTTTGTTGTTGTTGTATGCCATCCAGTCGCTTCTGACTCATAACAACCTAATAGGACAGAGTAAAACTGCCCCATAGGGTTTCCTAGGCTGTAATCTTTCCAGGAGCAGATATGTAGGTCTCTTCTCTAGCAGAGTCACTGGGTGGGTTTGAACTGCTGATCTTTTGGTTAGTAGCATCTTCCATCATTGTGCCACCAGGGCTCCTTTAGTTCACATTATGTATCTTAAATATGTCTCTGTTATCTTCTGGCATAAAGTATTCCTATCAAAGTTTGATAATATTTTCTTTTCTAAGTGATGGGGTCTTTTTGCCTGATAGCCAAGATTTTTCCTCTTTTTTCATTAAGAACATTGTGATGTTGTGTTGTTCTGTGCTGTCGAGTTAGATCCGACTCATAGTGACCCCTCCTTGCGTTTCCGAGGCAGTATCACTACGGAAGTAGATTGCCCCATCTTCCTTCCAAGGGGTGGCTGGTGGGTTTGAACCTCCAGCCTTTTGC